TAGTTTAACATTAGGAGTAGGAATGGGTTTCTATGTTTCTGAGAGGGGTGGTGGGGTCTCTTGGCTCCTTTTGTTCATTGGATGACAGAGGGGAAATTATGTGTGTAAGGGAGAGGGGGGAAGATGTGTGTATATGTACGTGTGTGCGTGTGTATGTGGGGGAGGGGGTCCTTTCCTCTGTGGGTTTTTTTCAGCAGTGTAGGGGAACATACTGATCACTATTGTCGCAGAAGGAAAATTCGTATCAAAAGCATTGTAATTCATTTCGAAGGCTGATCCACCAGACAGAAAAGAAATATTCCAGGAAGGACGTGAAGCTTTGTTCAAATTCAACTTAGATTCGAACTCCTAATTTCCTTGTGAAAAGCTAATTCACAGCCTGCTTCACGATAGGGTGGGAGTATTTGTGTATGAGGAACTTGTTTCACAACCGTGAAGCTAGCCGCGACAAACATCCGGTGAAATGTGTGTGGGGGTGAGGTGTTTGAAAAAACAGACGCATCAAACACCGTTTGTTTCCTGTTCCTGACAGTACAAATAATAGTAATATGTTACAATAACAGCAGTGTCTATAGTTCCGTAAGATTCCAAAATGTGGGGAGGCTGTATAACAAAAATATTTCGACAGAAACGACTAGATAAAAGATATTATGTATATCTGCCCATTATGACATATTATTCTGCACTACACTCCCATTATGCCACCCTCGAATCCAATCGAAGAATCTCGAAAAGCGTTTAACTTCCCACTCACCTCAGCGCCCATAGAAGCAAAGTACCAGGCAACAGTTTCGTTATATTCCATGACCAGATGAGGAGCGTTGCCGTGCAACCTTCCGTTGATGGAGTGCATCTTGTTGCTCTCCTCAAAGTCTCCGTCGGATCTAGACAATGTAGTTGATTATATAAAGAGTAAAAGAAATTACCACCTGTATCTATCCTAGTGATAATTCACACACACACATACACAAACATGCAAACAAACACACACACACACACGCACACGCACACGCACACACACACACACACACACATACACACACACACACACACACACACACACACACACACACAAGTCTAGACCAGTGCTTGTCAACCTTGGTGGTGTCGCCGATTAGTGGGAGAATTGGTAATTTTGGTGAGCGGTTGGGATCACCCGCTCAATTAAGTGTTATTTAATGCTATTTAATTTAATTTCTTTTGATTAGGTGTTATTTAATTTACCATGTATTATTTAATTCTCCGCTTGGACATATGTGTACATGTAGGCCGATAGGTACTAAAGTTTTAGCTCATTAAATGTTGCAAAAGTGTGCTTTGGTTATAATATGGTTGACAAGCACTGTTCTAGACCGGCACACATAGGGACACACAAATTATTGACAGACAGACAGACAGACAGACAGACAGACAGACAGACAGACAGACAGACAGACAGACAGACAGACAGACAGACAGACAGACAGACAGAAGAGGGTTCAACAGAAATATACACCCACCTTTCTCGGCTTGCAGTTTGTGAATCTTTTGGAACTCCTTGAATCGTATTGTCTGTGCCTCCTCCTTCTGTCGTTCCTCCTGTCCCAGATGCTGACTCTTTGCCTCCACTGTCTGCCGGGACACGTCTGGACCACG